CCCCAAAAAAAAAAAAAAAAAAAAAAAAATACAGGTAACAAGCATACAAGCCTTTACTAAATGTGAATTAGCAGGGATTAAAAAGCCAATGCTAAATTTGTGGCAGAGTGGATGATATTTGATTTTGTTGCTTCTTAGGTTTTGAAAGCCATACAATACTCAGAGTTAAATGTTGTCTGGGTCTCCTTAGAAACCAGCTCTCACAAGAAAACCTCAAAAGCAAACAAACAAAAGGTAATAAAGCTACTTTAGAGGAGGTGATGGAATGCCCATTATTAGCAATAATTTGCTTCATTAGTTCTGCCCATTGCTTTCTTTTATTACATTGTGTCTACTATTTTCTTAGTGCTTGTTATGTAACCAGGAGAAAATTAATATTTCTCAAAATAGCATCAGAAAAGCATATTCACTCATGCTTAGACCTGACACCGATTCTGAAATGCCATGCTTTTGTCAACTTCACAAAGTTTAGGTTAGAAGAGAGGAAAACAGTCCATGCCTCTATTTCACATTCCATATGACATTTTTGTAACTTAGTAGGAGTTGTAATTTTAGACTGAGTTCTGTAATCTCAAATCTAGTAGCTAATACTAGATGATTAGTGGTACCTGATTGGAAAATGTGGTCATGTTGATAACATTACTTTAGGCACAGATAACAAGTATCATTTATTAACTCATGTGGTTTTAGAAATGCAACCCTTCAATTATTTAAGGTGATACGGATTTCTACAGAAAAAATTAGTATCACTTTTTTTCTTCTTGCAAACACAATACGTGTGTAGGGAAAGTGAAGATAAATGGTCAGCGTCCCTTAGATGTTCAGAATCTTGCTGAGCATTTGATGTAACTATAACTCATCTGTGCTCAGGTGTTCCTGGGTTGTCCGATTCTCACCCAGGTGTTCCTGGGTTAACCACTGGACTTAAGTATAAAGGGCAAATGGCTCTGATCCACAGCACCCTATGCCCCTGGGACACCCCCAAGGGGGCCACAGGGAGGCCACTGCTATTGCTGGAGGCTGGTGCTGCAAGCTGTTGCTGCCAGGGCACCCAGGGTGCCCCGGACAGCCATGGCTGCTGCTGCTGCTAAGGAAGATGAGGACTGAGCTTGCGTTGCAGCCTTGCTGGAGGCTCCCAGGATCTTTCCCAATTACCTAGCTCATGACCTGTCTGTGAGGGGTCTGTGACCCAGCCTGGCACGTGAGGAGTCTGGTGACTCAGCCAAGCATGTGAGAGGTCTGTGACCCAATCTGTACAATGGGTTTGAAGGGTCTGTGGGCCCTAGCTCGACAATTGCCATAGCCATCAGGATTCTCAGCAGGTAAAGGAGACTGACAATTGGAGTCATGAACAGGATGTCAAGCAGATAAAGGAGCCATTCGCCCCTTGGGTGGGAGAGAAAATGTGGCTACCCTTGGGTATATGGCACCCAGTGGCCATTTTCTTGTTGACTGGGGTCTGGCTGTTGCTTGCTGTGCTGTGAGAAAGCATGGACTGGGTGCTGTATGAAGCGGCACAGTTTCGAGATTTGAAACATAAGGCAGACAGGTTGTAAACACAAGTGCATGCCCTGGAGGCTGAAGTGCAGCAATGGGTCATCCCTGCTTCTGGCACCAGGGATGATGACGAACCCAATGGTGAGTTGGGGGAGTCTGTGCACCTCCTGGAACGACTTGTTCATCAGAAAGTGAAGCACAAGCAGCCTATGGGACTGGGCAGACTGGTAGGCAACCCACACGTGACCTAATTCACTCCCTATGTCCCATATGCCCACGTCGAATTTGTTGGCTTGGGGAACAGTTTCAGCAGAAACTGGGAGAGCCCCTGGCTGCCTGGCTGCTGTGGTTATGGGACCTAGGGGTGGATGGTGTGATGTGCCTGGAGAAGATGTAGTAAACACATGTCACATTTGTCCAACATGCAGATGGCTCACTGGGTGCCACTTAAACCTGAGAAAGCAGATGGCCTGCCAGTTGCCACATAAATCTGAGAAAAGAGTGCCGCATGCAGATGGGCAGATTATCCGAGGACAGGTGCCCATGCAAAATTTCAAGTATGTTTTCACCTGGTGAAAAGATGGAAAAGTTAGCCTTTATTAGCACACTGTAGCCTGTGGCAATGGTTACAGAATAGCTGCAAATATGCACATGGGCAGGGCAGCCATTCCTTGATGAAATGGATGAATGCAGCTCTTCAAACTGTGTGGGCAAATGCTGGAGAACTGCCAGAGACTGAATGAATGGCACATGTATGCTGAGCTGGTTTGAGAGCCGGGGATGAGGCAGCTAGATGCTAATAGCCGCGACAATGGGAGAAAGGTCCTGAAGGCATTTCTGAAGTTTGGAAGAGCATCCCTCCCATCACAGACCCAGAGGCCTAGGAGAACCGAGTCTGCCCTTGGGAACCTGCTCTCTGCATTCTGGCTACTCTAGCTAGAGCAACCCTGCCTTGGGCGGCCCCAAGTGTGGTTCATGCAGCAGCTCTGGAGAGCACAAGCTGGAAACCTTGGTGGCATCCACATTATGCTAAGTTTGCAGGCTGGCAGAACATGGGAGCAGTGGAGGTGTGGCAGCCTCCACCCAGACTGCAGAAGATGTAGAGAAGGCAGAGACCTGCTGCAGGGTGGAGCCACTGTGGAGGTCATCTACAGAGGAATGTGGAGCAGAAAAGTGGGGTTGGAGCCCCTGCAGAGAACCCCCACTGTGGAAATGTCTAGTGCAGCCAGGACAACAGGGCTGCTGCCAGGAACCCAGAACTGTAGGGCCACTGGCAGTGTGTGGCACCGGCCTGGAAAAGCTGCAGGCACCGGGCAGCTCAATGGGCTGTGCCTGGTTGAGCTGTAGAAGCGAGGCTTTGGGGGCCCAGATGCCCCACTGTGCTTAATGTCTGTCCTTTTGGGTTTTGGACTTGTTTGGGGTCTGTTCTTCCTTTCTTGTCTATTCCTCCCTTCTGGAATAGGAATATGTGCCCAATGTCTGTCCCACCACTGTATCTTGGAAGTAGATAAATTTGTTTTTGATTTTTACAGGTTCACAGCTGGAAGGAGTTTTGCTTTGGTCTTAGATGAGACTTTGGACTTTGGACTTTTGAGTTGGTGCTGCAACAAGCTAAAGACTTTGAGACTGTTGGGATGGAATGTCACTAAATATAGCTGAAAGGGCAGATCTATAGGGACAGGCATCAAGGTGTACAGAACGTACAACAGGCACAATAGGTTATATAAATGTAAAGGTCAGTTATCCTTGCTAAGGGAACATTGCAGAAGATTCCAAATGCATAGATTGTATGGCGAGGGACCCTGACAGGGTGGATTGTACGGAAAGTGAAGATAAATGATCAGGATCCCTCAGATGTTCGGAGTCTTGCTGAGCATTTGATATAAACATAACTGCATCTGTGCCCAGGTGTTCCTGGGTTGTCAGATTCACACCCAGGTGTTCCTGGGTTACTGGACTTACATATAAAGGATGAACTATTCTGATCCACAGCGCACCCCATCCTGAGATGACCACGGGGGCAGGGGTGCCATGGGGAGGCTGCTACTGCTGCTGGAGGCTGCTGCTGCAAGCTATTACAGCCAGGGCCACCAGGATGCCCTGGGAGGCCAACACTGCTGCTGTTGGATCTGCTGGAGGCTGCTGCAAGCTGCTGTTGCTACTGAGGAAGCTGAGGACTGAGCTCACATCGGCAGCCTTGCTGATGGCTCCCAGGATCTTTCCCAATTACCTAGCTCATGACCTGTATATGAGGTGTCTGTGACCCAGCCTGGCACATGGGGAGTCTGGTGACCCAGCCAGGCATGTGAAGGGTCTGTGACCCAATCTGTACAACAGGTTCGAAGGGTCTGTGAGCCCTAGCATGACAATGTGTAACAAAGGAAAAAAAGCAACAATCAAACTTATTTCCAATTTTGAATATCTGGTTACTAATTTAACTTATCTGTATCTTCTTAAGCATTGGTTTGTTATCTTTCTTCTACTTCCTTGGCTGTCTTGGGTTATTTTCGTTGCTTCTTGCTGAGCCCATCTGGTTTAGTTTATGCTAAACTGCCACTTGGAAAACAGATAATAAATACCTCAGGAGCATCTTTTCCCTCCACATTTCAGTACTGAGTGTCCTGCAGTGAATCTTAAGGGTTCCCAGCATAAGTCATCTGTCCAGGTGTCTGAATTCAGGTTTCTGCAATTTGTTTATGGTGTTTGCATGTCATCTGTTGCCAGGTACCAGCTTTCTCAGCTCTGCCAGCATAGTGAATCTCAAACTATTGTATAAAAGAGCAGCCTGGGAGAGTTTGCTCAAATGCATGTCTTGGCTCTACCCTGGACCTTCCAAGTCAGAATTTTGGGGAGTGAGGGTGGAACATTCTATTGCAGATGGTCCTTTAAACCATTCCTTGAGAAATCATGTGAGCCTTTCAATAGCCTAAATCATTCTACTAATTTACTATTTCCTCACATAAACCCTTTCCCTCCCCTGGAGGGTAATATAGATTGAAAAGTCCCTTATTCCTTTTGCTCAAAATAAAAGAGGAGTTAAAATAGTTAAAGTTTCCTCACATATTATCTCTATACTGTGGTTAATTAGAGAACATCCCTTTCTTGTTAACTCAGCATCTTACAATAGGTGTCTTGACAAGGTAGTTTGCAATTTGGAGGTGGAGGAGAGAATGACAATTATCAAACCAACTATAGCAGTAATTATAGCTTGCTTGGGAAGAGATCCTTCAAATGAATATAACCTTGTAGTCAGCCCAAGGATTTCATACATATTCTAAGAGTTAAATAGCTGATATTCTTTTTTAGTGTTAATGAATTGTAAATTGATTTGCTATATGCTTGAAATACAGTCCCTACGAGAAGAAAGAAAAATTTCTTAATATCTCTGTGTCTAATGTTTTACGAGATAAAAACAACTCATGTTCTGGAGCCATTGTGAGTGGTAAATAACTAGATATAATCAATTCGTATTTTTAGCAAATTCAATATATTGTTTTCCAGCAAGCAGAATTGGGGAAAAAAGGTAATGTCATTTAATGAGAAGCAGATGCAATTTCCACCAACAAACCTGGAAACCAGATGAAAAGTCTTAATGTTGAAAGGTTGGAAATATATATATTTTTTCTCCCCTCAACTCAATGGATACATGTTTAAAATGAACTCTTGAAGTGCTGGAATGATGTAAAATAATGGAAGGGAGTCACTGCACTACTTACAATGCCCATTCTGTAAGTGGTTTCTTCTCTTCTCTTCTGACTTCATTTTGGCCTTTATATACCACTGACACCTTTTAAAGGTAAACAGAAACTTATTTTAATAATTATGATGGATAAGAACAAAAACCAATTGAAATACATATCAGATACGGATAAAGTTTGTGTCATAACGACCCTTTTAAGAATATCTTTATAACATGTGAAAATACTGCATAGAAGGTTTTTGAAGTACATCAAAATTAGCCCCAGATAAGAATAAAATATTGTCAAGTAGATCAACTGGTCTAAAGGACAGAAATCCTAGCAAATATTTTATAAGAAGCCATAAACATCAATTCCTTCCTTGTATGACTTCAAACAGCTAGAGTTGGTAAAAAACATTAAAAGTCCAAATAAAAAATGTTTCTGAGTAAGAATCTCAGCAATTTAGACAACTCAGTGCTACATGGCATGATGGTTTTCTTTTTTAATATTTGAAATTTGGTAGAGGCATGTTTGGTTCCCTCTCTGTCAAATGATGCTTCCACGACTTCTTCAACATGAATTAATTAATCAACATCCATATGATTTGATGGTTCATCAAATTGCTAATTCCAAATGGCCCCACAGAATATATCTGTGGTATACAATCCAATCTTTCAATGTGAATTTTGCCTCAAATTCTCAACTTGAGTATTTATTCAGAAATGTCTTATGGTTTTCATGTAATAGTTTCCAATGAATGCTCCCCTACCAAAGTGTTTAAGAGATACTTTAAAATAAATTTCCTTTATGTCATGTAATTGAAATTGTTCTCTCCAGTGCATAGAATATTAAAGCAGTTTCTGATGTCATGTAAATTGGCAAACATAAAAATTGAAAGCTGAAAATAACTCCGTACAGATTTTTTTATCCATTAAATTCTCTTTTTAAGTGATATTTATATTCTGCTTCAGGAATCTCTAATAAAGATAGTATTTGAGCCCATCTCTCCAGGTTATTAGGCCAAACTTTTTGGCCTACAAAGACTGAAATGTTTTCTTTTAAGTTTGTCATATTTATGTGGTAAGGCCATATTTTCTGATATCTTAATGAAATGCTTTTCCACATGTGTATATGCTATTTAAATCATTGTTTACTGAAATACTCTATGAGAAAATAGGGACTTAACTCATATTCTACAAGATACATGTAAATATAACTTAAAAATTGCATCCATGTTTGCTTTATATTGAATCACTACTAAATAAAACATCATTTAAATTCAACCCTTAAGATAAGTAGACGTTGTTTTTGTGTGTGTGTGTGTGTGTGTGTGTGTGTGTGTGTGTGTGTTCCTATTCGGAATAAAGATGACACTGCTTTTAACTAAAATCGTATGTAAGAAAGTTCCCTGACTTTCTTCAAAGGAACTTTCAAAAAGATGAAAAATAAGAATCTTTCTGGATCAAAATTAAACATCAAATCAAAATTATCATAATCTAGTTAACATGATATAATTAATGTCTTCAGAGTTAAGAACTCCTTATAGGACCACATTGTACTTTAATAACTACGTAAAATTTCTGGGCTCCAAAGCAGATGTCTTTAAATTGTATGCAACTCCATGATAATTAGAGCATTATAAAGATATCAGTGTCCCAGAATTCACAATGCATGAGCAGCATTTGTATTACAGAGGACAATGAATATACACTAGGGTTTATTCTTCTATTTAATATTTTCCTGTTAAGGTTTGCCAAACATGTAGCAGTGCATAAAGTTTTGGTAATTTGATTTTTTTTTAACCTAACCAAATTGTCATTGTGATCTCACATGCAAGAAAACGTTTTTATTTTCTTTTTTCCTTTCTTTTTCCATACTTGCACCTTTAACTCTCACTGACATTTTCTTTCTTTCTTTTGTTTCCTAATGATCATGGTCTTCTAAGCCCTCCCCTTGCAAGAGTCCTAGATAGGATTAAAAGAATTTCAACCTTTTTTGAGCAAATTTAGACCTCCACCAGGAGGTCTAAATTTTTGTTTTTTATAACCAGTTTACCGCTGCTAGTGATTAAGGTTTTTGTAGGCCATGTTTGGAATTTATAGACAATAGTCTTGAATATTTTGTCTTCAACCTAATGATTAATTGGTTTAGAGACTCCAAAAGTTGTTTTCTGTCCACTATAAAAGATAGGTTGTATCAAAGCTGTGATGGTGGTAAAGAGCTATCACAGGTTAACTTAAGGAGCAGAGAGAAAGAGTCATATGAGAATGCTGGGCAACAGTATCTGATAGTGCCAACATGGTGTGCCTAAACTAGTACTTTTATTAGGATGGATTATCATAATTTCCTGCACTTTTTCACGTCTTGTTACTATAGCTAGCATTCTATCAGGTAATCACTCTCCCAAAATAAGAGACCCAGAGACACTTTCTATTAATTCCAAGAGCATTACTATGTTTGTTTGTATACATGAAAATTTTAAGTAAACATAAGGGTAAATGTTCCCCCTTTTCAATTAATTTCATAAAGAAGTCACCATTTGCAACTCAACAAACACATATTCATGCATTTCTTTGTTCTTTGATAAATTGTGTAAAAGTAGTTCTCTTACAACTAAACCTAATATACTCTTAATAGATAACTAGCATTTTCTCAGGAACTCACACTTTAAAGTGCCTTCTAAGTATTTGTCAATTTATCAATCTATATCTTTTAGTCTGCTGTCAAAATTGTGGAGAATACTTTTTCATATATGCATATCATCTGTAAATTTTAAATTTATTTTAATAAAATATTGATACCTTAGCAGTGTTTTTAAAATGCATTTAATAAAAGGGTGTTTATAGTTCACTGAACTACTGCCCCTGAAGGCAGCTATTCACTTCTGCTCTGTATCGGATATCAGGGTATTCTAGTGGGGTTGGTATACTTTAGCTGGAGTCAGTATGGATTTGTTTTGTTTGGCTGACATTCCTATTGTAGTTTTAAATCAGGACATTGGTATTTTGCAGTTAATGTGTGTTTCAGATTATCAAGAAAACTCTTGAGGTATTCTTTTGTGCCCCTATTGATATCTAGAAGGAAGATTTTTTTCCCCATGTAAAATTGATCTAAAGATATTTGACAAAAGTCTTGACCAAACATACAGGGTTAAATGAGAAATAACACTTTATTATTTTAATAGCATAGCATATTCTCTTCACTCACACCTCTGTATTGTCAATACCTGTCTCATGGTAATCATCTAGTATATTTAAAGATCAATAAATTGTTTTAATATCAAATCTAGGTATTTTGCTATATTAAATTTATCACTACTTAAAATTTTCATCTATATTACTCTAAAGTGGAGAAATATCAGGTTTATAAAACTAATTAAGATAATTTTAATATAGAGGGTTTCAGTATTTAATTGATAAAGACATCACAGTTCTATAACATGGGGTCGTTATTCACAGATCACCAATCTTGGAAATAATCTAGTTTGCTTCGATTACCTTCCAGTGATTAAGAAGAACAAAGTGAGGATGACTAGGAGCGTGAATCCCCCAACAGCCGCGGTGGCGATCACCAGAATCTGCCCTTGCTCTGCTGCCAGGTCGGAAGCTGAAACACAGACACGAGACTAACGTTTCCCTGAGTGACATTACTTCTCTACCAAATTATTTCACAACTTCATATATACTTGAAAATTTATTTCAGTATTTGTGATATAGGATGCAAACTTAAAATAAATGAGCTTTGTCTAACGGCTGAAGAGTTGAGGTCATAACCTACAACATAAGCCTTTCTTCTTTCTTACAAAAATACCAATAATGTACATAGATTCTTAGTAACCCACAGTTTAAGATTAAGTATATGTTGCAAAATTACATCAGCAAATGAACTAAAGGATTTTGTTGTATATAATCCCTCATTTTACTTCCTCCTAAACACATTGGCCAATAGACCAGGCTTGACAGACACCTTTGGTGTCTATTTCCTTGTTATTTACTTACTTATTTATTATTGTATAATTCCTTTTTAAGAATGACCTTCCTTATATTTCATAGAGCTTAATTTAAACATTAAAGTTATAAACTCCTACCTCCATAGCACAAGAGTTTGCATAGTAGGTGCTTAGATGTTTGATTGGCAGTAACTGGAATAAATGATACTTGAAAGTTCCTTTTTTTTTTTTTTTAAGAAAGACCACATAGCATTTGGTAACAACATAATACTTTGTTCATTGACAAAACTGTATCTTAAAACTACAAGGGCTGCATCTTTCACTAATCTTCCAGGAATCTTTAAAAATATATTATAAATGTATTAATATTATAATATTTAATAATATTTTACAGTATATTATATTTAAAATATATTTCAATTAATTCATGAGCACTTCTCATTTTCTGGATTACTGAAACTTTAATCGGATCTAATTTTGGGGGGATGGGCTGGGCTATATCTCAGTAATAGAGGTAAGGAAACAAAGCAGAGAGAAGTTGAAGAACTTGTCCAAGTTCACATAGAGCATTAAAACTCATAGTAATAATTCAGTTAATTATCAATATTCTAAAATATTAAATCAATCAAACCCTTTAATATCCCTTAACTTGAATAAAGCTTGTTTTTTATTTTGTTTACTATAAATAAATAACATTTATTAATCTCATCTGTTACAAGAAGGAAATTGAATCAAAGTTTATCACTGAAAAGCAAACCACGTAATTCTCTACCATAATGATTTATTAAACTTGAATACTTTAAGACTTCTACAGAAGTACATCTTTTTCTGGGAATTAAGTATGCAGTATACTATGTGCAAATTTATAGCCAGAGTACTAACATCCTCATAAAAATTACACGTCTACTAGAGAATATCTGAACCTTAAATGCTATTGTTGCATCAGTAAGAAACCAGTCACAGCATTTCAGAGACATTTTAAGAAATCTAAATCTAAATAAAAGCAGTAGTCATTTATGTTCAATTTTCAGTAAGAGAAATTTACTAAACCTTGAAATTAGATTTTAGTCACTACGACTTAATCAAGATATTTTTCAGGCAGTCTATTATAATATTGAGTTTTAACTCATCATATGTGCAGAGACAAGTTAAATAGTTGCATCTTATTCAATACATAATGTACTGAAGCTGTTTTATTAGGTCTTCACTGAATTTCCTAATCTTCAAAATAGCACTGATATCATGGGAATTAATGTTGTGCTCTAAAATGTCACATTTTTCTCACTGAAAATTACTGAATAACAAATTGCAAGAAATAGATGTTGTAGAAAAAAACACTAACTTTTTGAAGATAAAGAAGATGACATTTAAAAAGAAAACATTATTTACTTAGCAACTGCTTTATTTGTAAAATATATAATATAGTTCAAGTGCTTTGAACCTGGAGTATATAATTTCACAGTAGTCAGGTAACTAGCAATCTATTGAGACAATGTATTTAAAGTTCAGGTGGAAGAGAAAATTATGTACTTGGGTGCCTTTTGAATATCAGATAAGTTGGTTATAGAATTGTGTTGTGTGTCTTAAGTAATTAGTTTTTAAACTGCTAGTTTTAATAATATGACTACTTTTGCAAACTTGTGATGATATATTTATGAACTTTGCTTCTATTAAAATTTTAATTGAATAACAGAATATTAGGTTGTGACACTTTGAAAGATGCATATTTCTGTATAAGTTTTTCTTAAACCTCTATACTAGGCATCCTAAACACTCCTCTTTGGAGAATAAAATACAGTCATGTGCCACATACTGATGTCTCAGTCAACAATGAGCAACACATATGTCGAAGGTCTCATAAGATGGTCCCATAACGGACCTGAAAAATTCCTATTGCCTAGTGACATTGTAGCTGTAGTGACATCCTAGCATATTACTTTTAAAAAAAATAAATTTAGTGTGGCCTAAGTGTACAGTGTTTATAAAGTCTACAGTAGTGTATGATAATGTCCTAGGCCTTCATGTCCACTCACCACTCACTCATTGACTCACCAGAGCAGCTTTCAGTAGCACAAGCTCCATTTATTGTTGTGTCTTATACAGGTGTGCCATTAAAAAATTTTTTATGCTGTATTTTTACTGTACCTTTTCTATGTTTATCTATGTTTAGATATACAAATACTTACCATTGTGTTACAATTGCCTACAGAATTCAGGACAGAAACATGCTGTACAGGTTGATAGTCTAGGACTATACAGCCTAGGTGTGCAGTAGGCAATACCATTTAGGTTTGTGTAAGTCCACTCTATGATGTTCACACAATGACAAAATTGTCAACAACACATTTCTTAGACTATATCTCCATTGTTAAGCAATACATCACTATATAAAAATATACAAGTAATTTGAAAATAAGAGTTTTTAATAAGACACATCCTGGGAATAAAATGCTACAAATGATGAGGCTGGGATGATTATGAAACATCAACATCATCATCTTCATCAACAATGGTCCTTATTTATTTAATAGTAAATTATGTGGCTAAAACTAGAGCTTCAAATTCATTATTAAATTTATTTTCACAATGATCTTGATAAGTAGGTACTATTATTATTCCTGGTTTAACTACTTGCCTAAGGTCACACATCTTGAACAAAGGAAAGCTGGCAATTCAGCTTTGATTTGCCTGACTCTGAGCCCATGCGATTGCCAGCATTTGAAACTGCCATTCTCACTAACAGGAAGACCTACCAGACCCAGGTCTTTTGCTTGTCTTAAGACAATAATAGCCTTGGTTGACCTTGGCTTCATTTCTGTAAAATGTGAATGTTGAACTAAATATTCTTGTCAAAGTCTTTCAGAGCAATTTTACCATGTTATCCATTAAGGCTAAAATCAAATATTGAAAAGAACAAGATTTGCCATATGGAAATGAGAGGAGCACTCAGGACCTGTGCTGCAGCTGTTGGTTCTGACAGGGATAATTTCTGCCTTTTATCATATTAGTGTTGGTCCATCACAGAGCTCTGACTTCATCTCAGCATAAACTCCAAAGCCCTTAACCTTGTTAACAAGGCTCTCTACAAATGGCTATAGCATATGTATCCAGATGCATCTCATCATACTCTAATCATATTCTCTAATCATACTGAATTTCTTCCAGTTTCTGAATGAGCCAAAAAAGAAAAAAGAAAAACTGACTAGAAAGAAATTCTTTCTTTCTGGTCAATTCCTGTGTACTTCATAAAGATCACATCATTTGGGAAGCTTTTTTCTGGTTATTTAGATTTGGTTAGGTCCCCAGACAGATGTTCCCATAAACCCTTAAACTACTTCTACCAATACAGCTATCATATTTTATTAAAATTATTATTTTTTGATTAGACTGCAAATTCCATGAGTGCAGGGACTTTATTCATGATGGTATATCTATAGTGGGTTAAATGGTGACATCCATCCTCCTCCCCTCAAAAAGGGAATTTATACGTGTAAGTAAGTTAAGGCTCTCAATCACCATGAATTGAATGGGTGGTCCCAAATCTAATGACAAGTGTCCTTATATGAGACAGAACAGGAGAAGACAAAGAGAAGGCCATGTAAAGACAAAGGGAGCAATTGGAGTTATGCAGCCAAAAGCCAAAGGATGTCTGGAAACCCCAGAAACTGGAAGAGGCAAGGAAGGATTCTCCTTTTGAGCCTTTGGAGGGAGAATGCTTTTGGCCTCTAGAACTATGATCTGTTGTTACAAGTCACTTAGTTTGTGGTAATTTGATACAACAGTCCTGGGAAACTAATTTAGTATCCAACCTATGGGGCTTGATAGGTGGTAGAAGCTTAATAAATATTCCTTTGAATGAATGGATTGAAAGACTACTTATTTGCTTTGGATGATTCTGGTAAGAGAAGGTCGAATTAATTTAGGAGTAATCCACATTCCTACCCTCCCCTTGATATGTGAGGAAGATTTATGAAGTGTAGCTATAGAATGTATGTAAAGAGAATGTACCCAACACTGATTTAATCAGATAAATCCAATTATTCTGTATGGTTGGAGACAGCACTTTCTGGAAGGCAGGAGGTACTAGAAAATTCAGACCTCTACGTTTTACCAGGTTGAGTAGATTAAAGTCAGAAATGTGAGTCTGAGGTTCAAAATTTGTTAGTTTAACCAACAAATGTTTATTGAGCCACTATCACATGCCAGTCACTGGGGTAGACACTGGGGATACTGTGATCAACAAAACAGGCTCATCTACGGTGCTCGTGGATTTATAGTTCAGCGGGGAAGATAGATGTTGAACAAAAATTAAAAGATAATTATTAAAGGGAAACTGTAAAGTGCTGGAAGAGATTAAGCAGCCCCATTGCAGTGAATAAGCTGACAGGGAACTTTGGAAAATATAATGTGTTGAAAGAAGAAGGAGGAGAAAGAGGAAGAGATGTTCCTTGGCTAGAGGCCTCATTGACTTGATTTATTTAAACAGACACTTAGACAAACAAATAGGTAAACCATAAAATTATCTACCAAATGGACTCCATTAAAAACATAGTATAGCTGCAAATTCCTCTGTTATGAAAACATGTCAGTAGTACTTTCTATTCATTTTTTCAATCCAGAGGAGAGGCTTATTTCTAATTAGTTTTGAAGGGGAAAA